TTTTTCCGTGTGAGCAAGGGTTGGGTTATAAGTTGTAAACAAAATAAAGTCCAAGTCATATGCTTGTCAACCTGTCTGATTCATCGCTCTCAAAAATATCTAGTTCACTATTAGGAAGATTTAGAAAAACGTACGCAAGCGCTTTGGGTACCGTAAAAATAGCGTTGCGATGTAAAACCTATGGCGATGCTAATTTTAGCTTGCCCAAAGTGCTTAAGTACGTTATTCTAAGACTCCCCTATTGCACAGAGCGCGACACTATATTAGCGCGAACAAGCGATCGTCGTGTTTTTATGCTTATCTCATAGAATCAAAACGCTGTTTTCAAAAATATTAGTGTCTTTAGAAGTGCTCATCTGGGCCACAGACCTAAGCGGTATACTTTGGTGCCTACTAAAACCATTTCGAAGTAAAATTCGAAAAAAAGAGCCAACGTCCTGTTCGCGGTATCAGTGTCGCGCAGTGTACAAAGTCCGTTCCGCGCTTGCACGTTTTGGGAACCATCTTGAAACAAACGTTTTAAGGGGTTAACTAGGAATATATTAAACTTAAGCTTGCCTGAAAGGGTTGTATATTTTAAGAACGCGTTGACATGTAAAGCTACTTCAGAACGTATTCTTAAACAGAAAAGGTGCGCATACCAGGCTTAGAACGATGGAGACTTTTTGCGAAGAGGTTGCGATGTGCAGGGCCTTATAAAAGTAGGTTGAAACGAGACACGGTCAAACGCAAAGGGTGTTTCGGAAACTGGTTCAAATAAGAAGGGCGTTTAGGGAATGGGTCGAAACAGGACAAATTCAAACGAGAAGGGCGTTTAGGGAACTGGTCGAAACGCGAGGGGTTCATATGGGAAGGGTGTTTAAAGAATGGGTCGAAACAGGACGGGTTCAAATGGGGAGCTCGTTTCGGGAGTGGGTCGAAACAAGACGGGTTCAAACGGAAATGGGTTGCTTCGGGCTACAGCCATCGGGCCGGGTCGGGCGGGGCCTTGAAATTAACAATTCTGTCGGGCTCGGGCCGGGCCCGGGCCGTGTCTCTTTCGGGCCGGGTCGGGCCGGGCCTAGAAATTTAAAATTCTGTCGGGCTCGGGCCGGGCCCGGGCCGTGTCTCTACCGGGCCGGGTCGGGCCGGGCCTAGAAATTCCGGCCCGTGCAGTGCTCTACGGCATACTTCTATAGGCTGGAAACGCCCGTGGCCCAACGGAGCGTCGGTCCGTTTTCAAGCGAAATTTCATGCGAAACTAGCTATGCTCCGTCTCAACTTACAATGGACCGCAGCGGACGTTTTGATCCATAACAGCCAATCGAGCACCGTGAAAAATGTCACGTGGCTTCGAGTCCAGCGCGTAACTGCGCCCCTTCCTGAAGCTCACCGTACACGCATACGGCTTTGGATTGGCTCGTAGCCTCGGTTGAGGTCCATCAAAAGGTGAAGCGGAATACAGCTGCCTTAGCAATCGATTCCAGATTTGCCAGACGCCGGCAATTCACTAATGCGCCGCGTGCTTGAAATTTCAGGTCGACGCCAAGGGAACCGGTTTACTCGACGCCCAAAATATCGGCAGCTGCGGAGGCGGGGAGACGGAGGAAAGAGCTCGCTTGGTGACGGAGGCGAGAAGGTTCTAACTGCGTTCCGATCGGGCTAACTGGCATCAGTCACAAACCTCCGTTAGCCTTTCCAAAAAGCATTAAACTAAAAGTATGCTAATCGTTCACATAAAAAAAAAATAATACGTATATTTTGAAGATTGCTCTTGAACTATATATTTCAAGTGTCTACCCTGATCACTGAAAACTGAAAAAAAAAACGTAGGCCGTGACTTATTATTTTCACGATTCATCGCAACTTAATTGTTTTCGGAGCAATATTAAAATGTCAAGTACTCGGCACACCCTGTGTTTCTTAGAATGCCGGTAACTTTAATAGCATATTAGATTTTCACTGCATGTAATAAATTATAGACTGGACTGCGTCCATGGCTACCGTCGTGTTCTTATGCGGAACGCAAATTCGTCTGTTTCTTCCGCAGGTGTTGCGGTGACGTTAGAATGCCGAGCTCTCATTGGCTTTGATTGGAAGGATAGAGGTTAGACCTCAATGCTAGCTGCCTTAAGCTCTACCCAATATCCTTCCAATCGAGCCAATCAGAGCCCGGCCTTCTGACGTTACCGCTACACCTGCGGAAGAAACAGACGAACTTTCGCTTGGCATACGCGTGCAGCGCGCCAATTAAACCGAGGATGTGTAAAAAAAAAACACATTAAAATGATAACAAAGTAGAGAATTGGGTCGAGTCGTATACGTTAAATAAGATGAAAATTCAACAGGCGCTCAAGGACGGGGACTAAGACAAGAAAAACACAGGACAGGACGGTCTTGCATTGGGCGTTCCTTACTTCTGTCTGACTCCATTTTGCGCTCCCTACTTTTCATAATATTGAAAGTATACTTCAGATTTCCCAAGTATTAGTGCTGTAAACTCAAACTATACATTGCGTGCGTGTTTTTCCTCGATAAAAGTGCACAATTACACTCAAAGCGCATACTTTTTTAGTGTTTTTTTTAATAAAATTATTTATACACAACCTGTTTCAAATGTACTACTTACTTTTTGTACTGACCTTATCGAGGTTGAAGTAGTTACAGTCGAACGGGGCACGCCAGAAAAGTGCGGACATGTCGTATAAAGCATTCTGCCTAAAAGGCACACTGCTTTATACTCAATAATGCCCAAGAAGGCATTGTGGGTTTTTGCTGAAGAAAGAATAAATAAACAATAGACATTTTTCTCAAAACTTATGATGGCGTGCAATAATCTGGTCATTGTAATTTGAATATATGCTTTTTTTAAGGTCCGCGCTAAACAAAGACCCGACCAAATATTCTCCCGAAACTGGTTTCTTATGCCAAAGTTAATTATTTCGTTAGTAGCTATCTATAAAAAAAATTCACGAGGCATATTGGTATTGGAGGTGAGTAGTTTAGGTTGAGGTAGTGCAGGTGAGAGTGGCAGAATTGATCTGCGCAATCCCGCAACAGGCACACTTGGACTTCCCACATTCCTTACACCGATATAAGTAGGGCGAAGCAGGACACACGGCACAATCTTAATTCAGAATCGCAGACCTAAGAAAATCGACGACTCCCGTGAGCAGAGATGCTTGTCACGAATAGATTTAACGTCATGGACGAATGGGTAGTCGCAGATAAAAAAAGTTGCGATTTCTTGATGAACAAGGCATTTCCTCCTAAAACATATTTAGACGTGTGACCTTTTTTTACGAAAAAAAAAAAAACACGCGAAGGGTTGGTCACCCTCTGAGCCTCCCCTCGGCCCCCCCCCCCCCCCCCCCCCCCTCCTTTAACTCCGCCTGTGCCTGGACTCTACATTCTAATAGCCTTCCAGTGCACCTGATGCGCACAGCTACAACAACAAGGACAACGAGTTCAACTGTCAGGCATGAAAGAACAAACTTCTGGTAATGAAGAACACCAATGCCACTCTCAAGTCTGAAGTGACTATGCAGGTGTTGAGTGGGAACTGGCTGCCTAGCGTATTCCATTGCGGCAATTAGTGCAGAACTCTCTGTGATTGCAACTGAGCCACCTTGCAGTATTTTTCATTTTAAGACATGTAATAATTTCACGACTTGTCGCCTATGGCTGATAGGGTTAAATTATGAGACAAAAATAAATGTTCAAATAAATAATAATGTAATTAAATTTGTTTATTACAGAGATGGCATTAGATAAAAATGAGAACGCGAGGAACAATATAACTCTCATATCTCTACTTTGTGTTTCTTTAATTGAGTATTGAAATGGCCCAGAACATCGTTCTTTCTCTCCAAAATAAAACAGGCTAACTTAGATATAAATTATAAGGTAATATTTGGTGTTTAATCGCAATTTTTTAATGACGCATGTTTTGTTTTTGATATTTTCGAAAAACTAATGGTGTCTAGATGTGTGTTAACAGATAAAATCCCGCATAGCATTACATACTATTTTAATTACTGCAATTTCCGGACGTAGCATGAGAGGGAAGAAGCAGAAAATATGTGTAAACGTAAAAATAAGGTCTCGATAACGTCATCACGTAAACCTCCGTGCTCAGTGTAACACTACAAAGTTTATGCCTAGGTCTAAATATTTATTGGAATGGGATAGCAGTCCTCAGATTTGTTTCAGTGCAGTGAATTGGAGTGTCAAATTGTGGGAAATTCATTTTTACGGATTTATTTAACCGACGCAGTACATGCAAAAACTTCTAAGAGCGTGGCGTAATTATCTGTTTCTTCTGGGCTTCATTTCTCTGATTAGATTAGTTTTCTGTGAATTGGGAACTTATCTGAGACATTGAAATGAGATAATGCCGGGCACACCGGGCTGCACTTTTGCACTCACAGTTCATGTTTAAGGGAAGGTCTTCATCTTTTTATTTAAATTAGTTTTTAATACAGTGGGGAAGGCTTATTCAACGCATTCTAATGTGAAACTGCATGATATACAGGGCTGAATGTACTCACAATTCGTATCTAAGGTGATAAAGGCCTTCATCTTCTTGACTGAATACGTTTTTTTTTTATAGGATGTGAGACTAATTTGACCCATTCGAATGTGAGACCGCCTGGTATATAATGCTGCACCTCTGCAGTCACGGATCTTGTCTTATGTGACGATCTTCAGTACCTTGATTGCAGCAGTTTCCTGTGCAGTGAGATACTTAATTTACACATTGAGTTGTGATAGTTGCCTGGTATACAGGGCTGAATTTCTGCGCTCAGTTCATGTCTAAGGTGATGGCCGTCACAATCCTGAATGCATCCAAGTGTTCCACTTGCCCGGCATACAGAGCTGCACTTCTGCATTCACATTTCATGCCCAAGGTGACAGTCGTCATAAATTTGATTGAATCCGTCATCTCTATTCTGAGACACCGAAATGACGCATTCCGATGTGAGACTGCCGGGCACACCAGTCTGAACTCCGAAACTCACAGTTCATGTCTAAGGTGACGGAGGTGCTGAGTGGTGCGGTGAGGTTCGAGTTGGAAGTCTGGCACGCGAGCACGGCCATCAGGTCCTGGCGCCGAAGCACGAAGGGCCCCAGGGCATTGCGACGCACGCCGGGGCGCGGCTCGGACACGCTGCCTTCCAGGAGCACGCTCTCGCGCCACCAGCTCACCGTAGGGGCCGGAATGCCTGCAGGAAGAAAAAACAATGGCCGCGATGATTAAAAATTTGTATTCCTAATCATGAAAGAAAGTTGCTCGAGGAGGTCAATTATACTCATACTTTATATACACTGTGCTGAGCCCCAGTTCATCTGCTTCTTCTGCGGAAGTGGGGTGACGTCAGAACATTGAGTTGTGACTGGCTCTGATTGATAAATAGTGGGTAGACCCAACACCGCCAAGCACGAAAAGCTGTAGTGATAATAGTTTCGCGTCACACGCGAAGGTCAACGCTGGACACAAATTGGAAACGGGTGCTGCGTCAGCGCTCGTCTTCGATTCAAGCTTGAGCTGAACGTCGGCGCAATCGTCGTGTCGAATCTGCGCCCAGCGCTTGCCTTCGCTGATGACGCCATCTCATTCAGCACTACGGCTCTGTCATCTAGGAGCTCTTGGTAGAACTCAAAACAGGCCGCCTTGAGGTCTACCCATTATACTTCAATCAGAGCCAACCAAAGCTCGGCGTTCCGACTTCATCACAGCACCTGCAAAAGATGCACACGAGCTTGCGTTCCGCATAGGGCGTCGCTGCCATTCAACCATGGTATCTGGAACGCGTCTCCGACTCGTGTTTTTACCGCGTCCAAAAATGTCCCTCGATTTCCGTCCGGTGACGTCATAAATGTTTCACGCTGTCTCCGGTCGCGATCTTGGCGGCGTCCTTGCAACGGTTGTGGATGTGGCAGACGCCTGTTCTGCTCCAGGACGCTTTCCTGTTGGCAGTTCATGGAAATACTGGCTTTATGCCAGTATTTCTACAACTAAACGCCAGTATCGCCACATCCGCCAGCAGGACACTCAGGCTTCTGTGACGTCATTTGTTGTAACCACGGGTCCACTTCACCGGGTGTCTCAAATAGTGGCGAGGCTCTATAAATCGACCGCGAAATTCGGTATCTTCAACTATCGCGCTACGATTTTGTGGAAGTTGCCCACAGTTGGTGCATTTTTTTTTTTTTTTTGCAAAATTTGCAAAGAGCAAATTGACCCAAGGAGAAAGCAAAAAAAAAAAAAAAAAAAAGAGCCTTAACTTATATGGAAATGCAGCGAAGCCACCGGTCTTCAATTCATAGGTTTCCTATTGTTTGAAGACGGGCGGCATCGCTGCGTTTCCACAGCAGTTAAGCCTTTTTCTTTTAGAGCGCAGCTCTTTGGCGCCCGTTTCCGGCTTCAGCGGCATCGCCGTCGCCGTCGGCATAACCACGCGTTACATTATGGGAAGTTTCCCATAATTACATCACGAAGGTTTCCCTCGTGAAGGTTCCGAGGGTTCCGAGGGTTACTCTCACGAGGGTTACGAGGGTTACCCTCACGAGAATCACGATGGTTGCCCTCGTAACCCTCGTGAGAGTAACCCTCGAAACCCTCGTTAACCTCACGAGGGTTGCGAGGGTTAGGTAACCTTAAAAAAGGGTTACGCTCAGGAGGGTCACGATGGTTACTCCCACGAGCGTCACGAGAGTTGTACAAGTTAACCTCACGTCACCCCGCCCCCCCCCCCCCCCCCCCGAGCTGACGTGACCTCAGGGACTCACCTATCCCTCAGTAGCCTTTCATCCTCCTCCTCAAGAGCTGCGTTCTAATCCGGCGAACGGCTTTCATTTTTTTTTTACTTTTTCCTCAGGTAAGTTCGCTCTTGGCTAATATAAAAAAACAGAAAAGAAAAAATGCGCCATCTGTGGGAAACGCTGCACAAAATCGTAGCCTGATAGGTTAAGAAACCGAGTATTGTGGTCGATTTAAAGAGCTCGGCTGGTATTTGGGACGCCCGGTAGATTTATGGGATGAATAGAACGCTAAGCGCACCAGTCGGAGACGCAATCTATTCACCACAATTCAACCAAAAGCATCATTTGCGTTCGTTATCTTAATAAAGACACTGGTAGTCGATAAATGCAAAATCACAACTTGTTTTGACCAGTCAGGTGTTTTCAGGAAGTTAAAGTTATGAGGCTAGTCATAACACTCGGCATGTGCGAAAAAAAAAAAAAGCTTCTTCTTTAAAGATGAAGCATGGATTTGACGCAGGCCTAATAGAATTATATGTTGACGTAGAGTCGATTTGTTTTACGAGTTCCTGCACATTTAGAATTTCTCTCATTGTGCTCTGAATGGCCTACTGTGCTAGTGATGACGCATTATTTATTCATTTATTTATTTATTTGAAAATACTGCAGGCCTTTATGTGCCACCACGTTAAACAATTAATACCTGAGTAGTTTCTCCCTGAAGTCAAAGTGCCGGCCATGCGGAGAATTGCAGACAAGACTGTTGCATTAAAATACCTGTCGCGGAGATCCCTCTGAGTAATCCGTTGAAAATGTGGGAGTTTGCAATTCTGTCGCTCTAAAGTGCAAATGTTTCTGGGCTAGGTGGTGCGAGCTGCCACCCGATGATTTCACCTTGTGGCCAGTCGTAGCGAACGCTTCGAGACATCCCAGACAATTCAGCTCTCTGAACGTAGCACCAGCCTATGCGTTCCGCGAGTCACAGCACTTTCTTTTGCAAATCACAGGAAACTCACGCGGTCCTCGATTGTCTCCGATGACTCGTAGCCTCCGCTAGGGTTGGACGTTAGGTGAAATGTCCATCCATCCATTCATACGTTTATTTATTTATTTATTTATTTAAAAATACCCTCAGGGCCCCCAGGGGCATAAAGGAGGGGAGCGGTGGTTTAGTTCGAGGCGACACTTGGTGCTTCTCTGATGGTGACGATGTTATCGCCATCTAGTTCAGCCTTCAATTAAGAAGGCTGAACAAGATGGCGCACTTGCGATGTCACATTGCTGAACCTTTTTTAAACCTATTCCTTGTTAATGGGCGCATAAACAGAGGGTTGTTTATTGTGGCAGCAGCGACCGGTGGTGCTAGTTATGACTATAGACGCTTTGCAGCAGCTGTGCATGGGCGCCGCCATAACTGACCTTCAGTTTTTGTGTCCCCTTATTACGTTTACTTCACTTCATTATTAGCATAGCAGGCTAGGTCATTGCCATCCTAGATTTTATTCTGTCTTTCTCCCCAGCATTGGCCTTTGTGGAGGCTCGTCCACACCAATTTCAGTGGCTCGGTATTTCGGTAAAACAAGAGAAGGTCAGCAATGGCGGCTGTATTTTGGCGCGTGTGTAAAGCGTCTATAGATTTCATGCTTTTGCGAAGAAGCGCGGATGCCCGACCAACTTGTGCAATCGAGCCAAATGCAACGCAAGGTTCGAGGTCACGTATTCCAAATTATTCATGGTTTCACGGGTTTGAACAGTTTCAAATCCGTGACCCCTTCCTCCTCCAGAAGCTGTGTCAGACATTTAAGGAGGATCTTAATGAAGAACGCTTCATTGAATGAGGCTCCCTTAAATAGCGTTTTAGTAATTGTTCTTTTCTTTTTTCATGGCTCGCGGTGTATCTCATTCAGAGGGCTTAAATTTATAGAAAGCTATACTTGAAAGATGTGGCGTTATGGGTTTTTGTATTTTGTTGAGCTGGTGTGTCTATACTTATCAACGTGGAAAGCAAATTTTTTGACGAAACAAAAATATAAAGAAGTGGACAAGGACACCGCGGTTAGCGGTGTGCTTTTCATTTCTTTAACTTCGTTTTTCGTCAAACTTTCAGATGTCTTGATTAACAAAGCATCTCTGGTTCGAAGAGTATGTCGGTTACAAATAAGGTATGTTGTTTTATTCCACATCACCAACACCTTGTAACTCCCCATAGCACTTGTTTTCATATAACCAGCTTGCTTTGCTCGTAGTCTTCTAACTGCTGTCGCGAGCACTCCGTGTTTTTGTCCTCGTTGTCTTTTTTCCTGCGGCATCAACTTGGCTGCATTATCCCCCCCTCCCCCCCCCCCCCCCCCCGCGTTTTTGGAAATTTATCTAGGTTTAACCAAGTCATTCGTACAATGACAGTCGATCACCGTGAACAACGAGAGCCCGGGATCGATCGTTTTCACGTAGGCGATAGACGACGTCAGTGAGCCGTTGCACGATTGTAAATGGTCCTTGCCAGTGACGTTGCAGCGTTAGAAACTCTTCTCGTTTCCAAATCGGCTTATGTAACCATACCCATCCGCTCGGTGAAAAGCGGCGTGCTTTGAAGTGTGCGTCATACTGGATCTTCATGCGTGCGAGGCGGCTTGGCAGCCGTTACCGAGCGAATGCGTGCATTCGCTCAAGATTTGTTCTTTGTTGGCTCACGAAAGACACAGGGTCTGTGGCCGGTTCTGGTGATCGTGGGATGGTTATATCCAAGGACATACGAGGGTCACGGCCAAGCAGCATCAACGCTAGCGTATAACCGGTGATTTTATGAGCTGCTGTTTTGTTTTGTACGTATGCGTACAAGAATGGCGGCACGATGCTGCCTCAATCATCTTGTCAATCATTTACAGACATCGACGGATGTTGTAAAATTGCGCGGTTCATCCTTTCTACCAAGCCGTTTGATTTTGGGTGGAAAGGTATGGTCCCTATTTTGGCGATGTTGAAAATCTTGCAAACTTCTTGAAACGCTTAAGATTCAAAGCTCCTGCCTTGATCTGAGAGACGGCAGAGGGGCGCCTCGTGCCTAGTGCGATACTGTCCAACTCGTCACCAGGGCGTCAGAAAGATTGGGGGCGGTCTGGTTTGGAATGGGAATAACCTCGGGCCACCTGTGCAAAGTGGTCAACAATCACTAGGACAAACCTGTTGCCAGATTTACATCGGAAAAGTGGGCCCAGGAAGTCAATGCCAACGCGTTCAAAAGGCACCCCCGTCACATGCTCTCCAAGAGGCGCTTGCTGCTTGACGTGAGATCCTTCAAGGGAAGCACACATGTCGCACTGACGGCACCACTGCGTCACGTCACTCTGGCCCTGCAGCCAGTAGAATCATTGGCGGATCTTCTTTATCTTGCAATTCAAACGGAATTATCCTCCTCCAGGACTTCTGCGCAGTTGTTGAAATACGTCGGAGTAGAGTGTGT